AATTCGCGTTTTATCGCTATGGAGGAACCAGGTTCTTCAGTATCAGCTGGAGGTTCTGTTGCATCTTCTTCATTAGATTCCTTTACCTGACTCATTAGATCAGCCTTTCCATTTTCCATATCAATGACTTCTCCAGGAACCTTTGACTGCTCTCCATCTTGTCATTCTTATCATGTGAATCTTTCCCACATAAGTGGTGGGATTCATCAAATATTACATATATGCTTTCTTCAACATATTGAGTCCTTTTGTTATAGACCTTGTACGCTTTGCTTTGTGAAGAATACCCAAGAAAGATTCTATCATCACTTTAAGCATCAATTTTTTTCAATCTTCCTTACCATTATTGAGAACGAAACATTTGCAACCAAACTTTCTTGGGTGAGTTAGCCTGCGTTTCCTCCCGTTCAGTAATTCATACGGGGTCTTGTTTAAGAGGGACCTGATCATGTACATGTTTATCAAATAGCAAGCAGTGTTGACCGTCTCTACCCAAATCCCTTTTGGTACACCATTGTCAATTAGCATCGTCTTTGACATGTCTTCAAGAGTGCTATTTTTTCCTCTCCACAATACCATTTTGTTGGGGTGTTTTGGGAGCTGAATAATTATGACTTATACCATTTTAATCACAGAATTCAGTGAACTTGGCATTCTTGAACTATGTGCCATGATCAGATCTTATGCTTACAACATTATAGTTTATCTTCACTTGAATCTTCTTCATAAAGATAGCAAAGTCTGGAAAAGTTTCATCATTGGTTCTGAGGAACTAGGTCCATGTGAATCTGGAGTAGTCATCAACTATGACGAAAATATACTTCTTTCCTCCTCTATTGGGCACCCTCATAGGTCCACACAAATCCATATGAAGAAGATCAAGTAGCCTCGAGGTTCTTACTTCCTTTTTTGGCTTGAAGGAGGACCTGACTTGCTTTCCTCTTACACATGTATCACACACCTTGTGATCCTTGAACTTTTGACTTAGGCAGCCACAAACCAGGTCCTTCTTTACCGGATTGTTCAGCAATGAGAAGCTTGTATGTCCCAATCTTATGTGCCACAGCTCAGCATCATCATCAACAACACTCAAACATGTAAGATCCCTACTGTTCAAGGACTCAAAATCGGCAACGTAGATGTTTTTAAATCTTTTAGCCATTAGAACCACTTCACCAGTCACAAGATTGGTGACTGTGCAAGTCTTTGATAAGAATTCAACTTTGTTTCCTTTGTTGCAGATTTGAGAGACACTCAGTAGGCTATATATCAGGCCATTCACATAGTACACATTCTCAATTGAGTGAGTGAGTGTCTTCCCAACTCTTCCAACTCCTAGAATGTATCCCTTTTTGCCATTACCAAATGATACACTCCCACCTTGCAGGGCTTCGAGTGAAAGGAAATCATCAGTGCTTCCAGTCATATACTTAGAGCAGCCACTATGCATATACCATTTTTACCTTCCTCCTTTCACTGCTCCATGCACAAGGAAATCAGAGATTAGACTTAGGAACCTAAACAAGTTTGGGTCCCTTGTAGTGAGGAAAAGGGCAACTTAAACCTCTTCTTGTCCAAGCAAGCATCACACATTTTTTATTGGAGGGACCAGGTTCCTTAGCAGTAGGTACTTTTTCAACAAAAACTTTATTTTTCAGTTGGGACTGAAATCTAGCTTTACAGGATTCTTTAAAGTTCCCAGTGTTACCAGAGTGAATGCAAAGCTAGTTATCAGGGACAGTAACATACTTGCTATGTGGGTTGCAAGGAGCCTTTTCCTTTTGGAACCCAATTCCCTGCCTGTTCCCCCCATCATTTTTATACATAGCAGTGACTGTATCAGACGACTAGGTCCACTTTATAGATTTATCTAGGTCATTTTAACTCTTCCTAGATCTTCCTGAAGTATCTGTCTTAATACACTGATGAAATTTTTCTCTCTCTTCTCTCTCTAAAAAGAACCAACGGCTAATTTCAAAAACTAGCATTTTCCCTTCACGCACCCACCGATGAACCCGCCAGACGGTGCCGCTCCGGCGCGTCTGGAAGCTCAATCGACTCCATCTCACATGGCGAACCAACCCTCTGAGCTAATTGACACAAAATTGACCTATGCTACCAAAATCATCTCCTCTTCGAACACTCTGAATCCTCCAAATCGCCATGGCAGAGACTCTGCCATTGCGACTCATACTACGCACAACGGAATGCCGGTGGTTCTCTTCAAAGCTTCAGACTATTATGGTGTTATGGATAAAGAGTGCAAACTCATAATTGTTGGCCGATTCCTAAAACTAAGGCCCCAAATTGAAAAAATTAGATCAAAATTCAAAGAGCTAATCTCGATTAAGGGTTCTGTCAATTGGGGTGTTTGATAATTACAATATTTTTCTTGATTTCACCAATGAAGACAATTTTAGTACTGTTTGGTTTAGGAGAGTAATTGAAATCAAAGGGCAGCAGATGTGGCTCCAAAAATGGTCACTGGATTTCAAGCTGGAGGAGGACCTGCCTATTGCTCCGGTATGGGTTCTCCTTCCTGGTTTACCTTTTCATATGCACACATGGAATTATGTTAAACAAGTTGTGAGCGCAATTGGTACTCCCCTTGAAATGGATTTGGCCACTAGAGGAAGAACAAGGCCTGGTATGGCCAAAGTCAGAGTTGAAATTGATTTACTTAAGGACCAAGCTAATTCTGTTTATGTTGGACAAATATATGACAATGCTCCTCAAAAAGGTTTTGTGCAAAAAATTGAATTCGAAGGAGTCCCTAAATATTGCAAATTTTGTCAAAAACTTGGACACAATATGATAAGTTGTAGAGCATTAGAAAGGAAAAAGGCTGACGAAAACAAAGAACTGGATGACCAAAAAACTGGTGCAAATCAGAAGGGAGAAAATAGAGAATTGGACGTTCAAAAATTTGATGAAAATTAGAAGAATGCTGATGCAAATCAGAAGGCTGGTGCAAATCAGAATGATCACAAGAATGTTGGCCCAATGCTCAAGAGAGAATTGGAATTGAATGCTCAAAATTCTGGTGCAAACCAGAATGCAGAAAACAAAGGCACAGATTTGAATAACAAGAAGGAGGTTTATGAAAATGGAAAGGCTATCAACAATGGGCAGGATAGAGATAGTATCACTCAGAATCAATTGGGAAATGAATCCGATAATCACCAGCAAAAACACTCAAGCAACATCAGGGAGAGATAACATTAAGAAGAGCAAACAGAGGAAACTTCCTAAGAAGAAAGCTAAAGATACCTTCAAGCCTATGCTCAATCTATCTTATGACACTAACACGAGGAAGATGCATAACAGAGAGATAACCTTGGCCTTACAAAATCTGAACCAAGAAAGCAATCCGGATATGACTGTGAATGTTCAAAAGCAGTCAACTGATTATAGAAAGGGAGATCAAGTTGGAGCTGCTAATAATAAGGCTCTCTCTAATACCAATTCAAGCAAGCTGGGAAAGATGCACACCAAGAGATATCTTTGGCTGCACAAAATCTGAACCATGAAAGCAATCTTGATGCGGTTGTGAGTGCTCAAAGGCAGTCGACTGCCTATAGAAAGGGGGATCAAGGTGGAGCTATTAATAATAAGGCTCCCTCGAGTTCATACTCAAGCAATCAGGAACATAATGGCTATAACAGTAACAGTGATACCAAAGAGGATCAGCAGGAGTCGATTCATGATAATGATAGTCAAAATGAAAATGAAGATCCGGAAAATAGAAAAAAGGAAAATAATGCTCTAAACATGAATGAATATGTCAACGAGTCAACCAGTGTGCCTTCAAAAATTAAAAACCTTCCTGGGATTGATGTGGTAGTTGATCTTAACATGGAATCCAAACCAAAACAAGAAAAATACGTTACGTGCCAACAAATTGAAGTAACTTCCCCTAATAGGGTGACAGTTATGGTTCCTGAAGATCAACTTCAATCGTATTCGAAGGAGGAATCCTTTCAGATCATAGGTGGCAAAGATAAGAGGAAGAAAAAAGGAAAAAAGAACAAGAGCAAAGATACTACACCTCCTAAAGGAGGACACTCATACTAACCTGATTATTGTTTCCATGATAAATGCTATATTTTGGAATATTAGGGGAGTAAATACCAAAAAAGCTTTACCAAGGCTAAAAAAATTGATTTCCATCTATCAGGTGGAACTTATTGCTATTCTGGAACCTTTTGTCAGTATCAATCAAATTGAAAGGTACAGGAGATTCCTTGGATATCAACATCGTATTTCTAATTCAAACGGTCAGATTTGGATCATGTGGTTAGGCAACAACATGACTACAATTCTGAACAATCACGAACAACAACTTACTACCAAATTGCATTATGGGGCTGCTAACAGTGATCTCTATATTACAGCAGTGTATGCTAAATGCACTTTAGAAGAAAGGAGAGACCTATGGAGTAGTTTAGAACTAACAAATCTTCAGGTGAATGATCCATGGTGCATCGGGGGAGACTTCAATGTCATCCTAGACCCTGATGAGAAAAAAGGCGGAAGACCTCACAAAATGAATAAAAGCCTGGAATTCAGTACGTGCATAGATAACTATGGAATGATGGACTTGGGTTTTGTTGGACCAAAATACACATGGTGCAACAATTGGGAACCAAGAAGAAGAATATGGAAGAGATTGGATAGAGTGTTTATCAATGATGAATGGTCCCAGATTTTTCAAAACATTATTGTCAACCATTTGGCTAGAATTGGCTCTGATCATAGACCTATCCTAATTCAATGCCATGACACTAACCAACAGGGGCCTAAATATTTCAAATTTCTAAATTTCTGGACTAACCAACCATCTTTTTTGCAAGTAGTTGAAGAATTCTGGAGGAATCATGTTAATGGAAACCCTCTGTGGAGACTTTAACAAAAGCTTAAAATGTTGAGCAGAAGGTTGACTCAATGGTCTAAAGAAGACACTGGCAACGTGTTTGATCAAGTACACTATTGGGAAAACAATGAAGGATCTTCAACAGAGGGATCTCATGAACAATAATGACATCACCAGGACTGAACAGAATAAAGGCCAGGCTGAATACATTAGGTGGATGGGGATGCAGGATGAAATTCTCAGGCAGAAAGCTAGAGTGAACTGGTTCGAAGAAGGTGATGCTAACACTAAGTACTTTAATAGAACTATCAAGGATGGAAGGAGAAGGCTCCAAATTCAAAAAATTAAAGACCATAGAGGAAACTGGATTGAGGGTGATTCTAACATTGGCAACGCAACTGTCCTGCATTTTCAACAATTCTTTAACATCAATCACCACTGCAATGATCCAAATATCATCAATTGTATCCCCATTGTGTAACTGATGATGACAATGAAATCCTCACTGCCATACCTGATAGTGAAGAGATTAGAGATGATGTTTTCAACATGAGTTCTAATAGTGCAGTTGGTCCGGATGGGTATAATGGGATATTCTTCCAAACCTGCTGGGAAATCACTAAGGAGGATATTACTGATTTTGTTCAAGCAGTCTTCAATGGTAGGAGGCTCACTAAATTCTTCTCTCATATGTGCTTAGTTCTATTCCTAAAGTGGACTCTCCTAGTAGTTTCTCGGATTTGAGACCTATTAGTTTGAGTAACTTTACGGCCAAGATTATCTCCAAGATCCTTTCCAGAAGACTAAATCTTATTCTAGGGAAGCTTATCTCAGAAAATCAGAGTGGCTTTGTGAAAGGAAGATTGATCACTGAAAACATTTTGCTAGCACGGGAGATTGCTCAAGGTGTGAACAAGAAGTACAGAGGAGGTAATGTTATAATAAAACTCGACATGGCAAAAGCATATGATAGGATTTCTTGGACCTTTCTGATGGCAGTTATGAGAAAACTTGGCTTCTCTGAAAACTGGATTGACATTATTTGGGGGCTCCTACAAGGTATCTGGTACTCTATCATTATCAATGGGGATAGAACTGGTTTTTTCACATCTACTCAGGGCCTCAAACAAGGAGATCCTTTATCCCCTTCATTGTTATTATTGGAGCTGAGGTTCTCTCTAGATCTCTCAATTAGCTGAATGACTTTATTAGTTTCACTCCTTTTAGCATGGATTAAAGAGGCCCTATGATCAATCATTTAGCTTATGTAGATGATGTTGTTATATTCTGTGGAGGAAACAACATGACTCTCAAGCTTATCAAAAAGGTTATGGACAGGTATGAAAAGGCTTCTGGGAAGAAAGTTAACAATGATAAGAGTTTCTTTATTACAGCCCCCCACACTTGTGCCGCAAGAATCAATAGAATTAGGAATACTACCGGTTATATGGATAAGTCCTTCCCCTTCACTTATCTGGGATGCCCTATATACTATGGGAGGAAGACTAGCAATCTTTTTGACGGTATGCTTTCTAAAATTATCAAAAAGCTCAATGGATGGCAAGCCAATATGATGTCTTCTGGAGGAAGAATGATTTTGATTAAACATGTCCTGCAATCCCTCCCCACATACATCCTATCTATTATGAATCCTCCTAAAGGAATTACTAAGCTCATGAAGAAATACTTTGCAAATTTCTTCTAGGGCACAAATGAAGGTAAGAACAAATATCATTGGTCTTCATGGAACAACCTTTGACTCCCTAAAGATGAGGGAGGAGCAGGTGTCAGGAAAATGGAGGATATCATAGATACGCTTACCATTAAAAGGTGGTGGAGGTTCAGAACTCATCCTTTCCTCTGGGCCAACTTTCTCAAGAGTAAATATTACAAAAGAGCCCACCCGGTACACAAAAGGCCAAATCCAACTGACTCTCATATGTGGAGAAACATGCTCAAAATCAGGAACAAAGCAGAGAATAACATTAGATGGGAAGTTCAGAAAGGTAATAGTAGTTTTTGGTGGGACAACTGGACCAGCAAAGGTGCTTTAGCCAATGAGATCTGCTAAATTACAGGTGAAAGACTTCATGAATAATTGAGAATGGAACATTGGCAAACTCAATGAAACTCTCCCTGCTCATATCACTGATAATATTGCTCACCTTGAAATTGGGGATCCAAATGAGGACGACTTCCCTGTTTGGATTATCTCTAATGACGGGAACTTTTCTTCTAACTCAGCATTGCACTCTATTAGATTCAAAAAATATAAGAATGATTTCATAAACAAAATCTGGCATAAGTCTATCCCATTCAAAATGTCTTTTATTACTTGGAGAATTTTCAAAAATAGATTGCCATTTGATGATGTTATTTGCAGATACGGTACTAACATTATTTCCAGATGTTCTTGTTGCTCTTTTGCGCAGGTTAAAACAGTGGAACATGTCTTCAATAGTAGTGAATCTGCCAACTTCATATGGAATAATATCGAAAATGCACTTGGAATCAAACATCAACAGGAACCTGTTATTGCTACCTTTAAGAGATGGTGGGAGACAATTACCAACAATAAAGTGCACAATCAAGTTCTTCAAATAGCTCCCACGATCACATGTTGGGAACTCTGGAAATAAAGAAATGCGTGCAGATATGGAAAATAGAAGAAGTTTCAGCTGAACACTATGAGACACCAAATTATTTGGACCTTGAAAGCTGCCATCACTAACTTTGTCCCTGGTGATTATACTCAAATGGAATGTCCCCTATTATGTGATAAAAGTGAGAGACTCAGACCACCCCGAAAATGGATACAAGTTACATGGGAATTCCCTCTACCCGGCACTGTCAAGATTAATACGGATGGTAGTTTCTTCAAAGAAAATGGCAAGGCAGGCATTGGAGGGGTGGTCAGGGACAGTCAAGGGGATTTGATTATGTCATTTTCTATTTCTATTAGCTGTGATAGTAATACCATGGCAGAGGCTAAGGCAGCAGAGTTTGGAGGGAAATGGTGTAATCAAAATGGATACACTAATTTCTCTCTCGAACTCGATTCAAAGGTCACTGTAGATATGCTGGTAGAAGGAGATATAAACAATGTGAAGATAAAAAAGGTGATAGACAGAACTTCCTTCATAGTTAAATAGACCAGAGCTACTGTCAGACATTGCTTTAGAGAAGGTAACCAAGTAGCGGATTATCTTGCTAAATTGGCTACCACCACAAATCATAGAAGGGCGTTTCATTCATTCCAACAATTGCCCAACAATGCAAAAGGACCTTTCCTACTTGATAAATGGCAACTTCCTAGTATAAGAACAAAGTATGAAAAGTCGAATTTCTTTGTTAGTTAATTTTGTTTCTAGTTTCAGGAAGGAGGGTGTATATAGATGAACCTCATGTCCTTCTTTTGGGGTGATTTCATCACCGTTGTTGTATTTCCTGAGGTAAGGGCTAACCCCCCTCTTGCGCTTTTTTGAATACAACACAACCTAGACAGCCGTCTGGGCAACTTTATAAAAAAAAACCTTTTCAAAGTTGAAAAACAAGTCTTCCTGAAGTTGTCTATTTCTCTCGAGTTCAGCACACAGACTCAATTTCACCATTTTGAGCTCATTTTCGAGTTTAGAGTGTCCCTCTCTTGCCATTTCCTTACATTTTAAAGTGTTTCCAGAACTGTTTTCTCTTTTTAATTCTTCTACTATTTCTTTTAGATCCACAACTACTACCAACAAGTCATCTCTCTCATGCTCTACATTTTTAATTTTCTCAGTTACAACATCCTTTTCTTTCTTAAATCCTCATTGGTTTCTTTTATATCAACCACTACGACTACCAAATCATCTCTCTCATATTCTACCTCTCCTAGTTCCACAGTTAACACATTTTTATCATTGATAAGATTATGATAAGCATTAATCAGAACATTAGCTAAGGACACAAGCTTTTTTGGGGAATAAGACTTCAAATTTCTTTGTCTAGAAAGTTCACCTCATCTTCATCATCATCTTCATCCTCATTAGATTTTGCCATCAGGGCAAAGATGGAGTCATATTTAGCTGCTTCACTTTCAATTGACATCATAGAGGTGTCGCCTTGTTCATCATCTCCCTCAGATTCACTGGAAGAGCCTCCCCATGTAGCAAGAGCTTGCTTCACAACATTTTCAGCAGCATCTTTTCTCTTGAATTTTCTGTCAAGAACCGGGTTCCTCTTAGCTGTTTTGTCTGTGTTGTGCTTGTACTGGTCTTGCTCGTGGAGAGGACAATCTTTGATGAAATGTCTTGGCTTCCCACATTTATAACACAAGTCATAGCCTTTTAATATGCTAGAGCTGCCCCTTTTAGGAATGCCTCCATTTCATCGAACCATTTTCTGAAATCTCCTTGTCAAATAGGCCATGTCAGCATCCTCACCACTTGAACACTGTTTTCTGCCTTGAGGACAAGGTTGTTTTCCTTTTTGGGTTCTCTTCTTTCAGGTCCTTCTTTTTTTTTTATTTCATAGGTCTTCATATTTCCAATGAGTTCAGCAATGGTCAACTTTTGTAGATCTTTGACTCTGTGATAGCATTGACTTTGCTTTCCCAAGAACCAGGTAATACACTAAGTATTTTCCGAACAAGTTTGTTTCTTGGATTGATTTCTCCTAGAGAGTGGAGCTCATTGATGATGGAGCTGAATCAAGTATGCATGTCCTGAATGGACTCATCATCCTTCATCCTGAAGAGTGCATACTCAGTAGTGAGCACGTCGATCTTTTGATGCTTGACTTGAGTTGTTCCTTCATGTGCAGTTTGGAGAGCCTACCAAATCTATCTCCTTGGCAGATTGAAAAGCAGAAATTCTATTATACTCGTTTGGTCAAATACCACAGACGAGGAACTTCTTTGCTCGAAAGTTTTTCTCTATATCTTTGCGATCGATATCATTGTACTCCTTCCTTGTCTTTGGAATTGTCACTACTGGCTCACCAATGGTCTTCATAGGGACGAAGGGCCCATCGCAGATGACATCCCAAAGCTCTGAATCTTCAGCCATGATAAAATCATGCATCCTTGTCTTCCACCATCCGTAGTATTGTCCATTGAATCTTGGTGGTCTGTAGGTTGATTGACCTTCTTTAAAGTTTGGTGGAGCATCCATGTGAATCTTTTCTAGGTATTATTCTTATAGAAAGAACCTGCTCTGATACCAATTGATGGAAACTAAGAGTCCACCAAACTGCATAGAGAACCTGGTTCTCTATCAGTTCCCATAGAACATACACACACAGTAGTAAGTAAATGACACAGCAGTGTTTTACGTGGAAAACTCCCAGCTCATGGGATTTAAAATCACAAGCTACACTCGTAGGATATCAACTTCACTAACTGAGCAAACTTTAGATTACAACCTATTGTAATCTAAGAATTAACCTGCTAATCCCCCACCTACTTGCAATAGCTCTATTACAAGCCTTTTTGTACTAACTCTATTACAAAGCTCACACTTTCACTAACTCTAGCCAAACACAAACACAAGGTTTATGGTTTTACAAGTGATGTCCTACAGAATGCTTCTAACTAAGCTGGGTAGGAATTACAAGTAAATAACACTAACAAAGATACAACAATACTAAGGACATATGATAAACTCAGTGCTGGGATCTAGTCTTTTGTTCTGTTGCTTCTCTGTTCTTCTAGCCTTGGAGTCAAATGAAAGGCGGCAACACACTTGAGAGAGAGACTTATGATTTAGGGTTTGCAGGTTTGTGTGTTCCCTTGCCTTATGTTGTTAATATATAAATGAGGTTATTGAGATGATGTATGCAATTATCCAGTACAAGGCATGCTCTATAAAGTGACTGTTGCACTGTTGCGTGTGTAAAGAAACAATGCAGCGACTTTAACAGCTGTAGGGAGTTGACTTGTACTGTCACTGGAGGAACTGATAGTCATCTGTTCCCTCTAGTGTTTCTTTGACTTATTATGTTAGAACTTGTGTCAGACATGTGACTTGTTGTTCTTGAGCACTTTTGAGGATGTGTAACAGGTTTCCTATCTGGTTCGTATATACAGTTTGTTAAATCATCAAAATACAAAGGCACAGAACATATTATTTTGCAAGAATAATAATGTAAATGATTATAATGGAAACCGGAAGGAGTAGGGAACTCCTTTAACTCAACAAATAAATTAAATTTAGGATCCACA